AGAGAGAGAGAGAGAGAGAGAGAGAGAGAGAGAGAGATAGATAAATAGTGTGTAACACATGGTTCACTCATTCGTGTAGTCCAACCAAAGAGACCGACTCGGGCCAGGTAATGAAGGATTTCAAAACCTTGCACTACCCACTTATGCAGAATACAACTTTAAAGCTAAATTAGAGGCTTTACAAGAGAGTAACTGACAAAGAATAGAAGGAGTAGAGATAAGAATGGTAGACGCTTGATATGAAATATGGAGCAATCCATACCAAAGCACCTGCCAACCTACCATTCTCAGAGACTGTGAATCACGAAGCCAAAAAGCGAAAGTCCCAAAGAGACAGAGACATGATTATGAGCAACTAGTAACCGATGAGTTTTTAAGCCCTTACACCCAACTCTCCTTCATAAGCCCCATCAACCCCCCCCCCCCCAAACCACCAATCTGTATCCTCGCTCATTCCCTTACCTCACCCTCCTCTCAACCCGGAACCACGCACGTACGTGTGAGAGTGAGTACTCAGCGCGCGAGCCGTCCTGACACGGGTGTTTGTGGGTGGGTCCGTCTGGGGGAGGGAAAGAGGAGGGGGCGGGAAGGGGGGTTGGGGAAAGAGCGACATCTCTCACAGACTCACACCCGTGACTGATTCATTCGGTGACGACGGGCGGACGGTCGTAGGCGTTCACGTTGAGAGGAAGGCGAGGCAAAGTGCCGCTACCGCTTAAATCGAGTTTGCGCTCTCTGTCTGTGGATAAACCGCTGCTGGTGAGCTGTCCACGCGAAGCGAGGTGCTGGAACGAGAAACAGTGAGTAACTTGGGAAAACTTTTTTAAAAAGGTTTCTACTTTTTAATTTCATAGTCTAAAATAATGTGCACTTTGTGTGTACTTTTGTTGTGTCCACTTTCGAGAATCACGGTGGTCACCTATGACGAAACTGGCTTTAACTTTTCTTCGTAAAAGTAATTCATCTTTGTATGTTTTTAACGGCCCCTTTAACACTGTCTTGATATTCAATGGACGGGTCTCCAATACTTTTTCCTTCTGTTTGTTTTTTATATAATCACTTACACATAAATGTTACTTTATCATATTATGTGCGAAATATAACGTTGATAACATCATTCCCCATCAAGAATAATTTAGATTCTTTCATCTCCAAAATTGAACCCAAATGTGATATACACAAAACAGAAACATGAAACTTAGTAATAATATTTGGTTGGGTTTTATATGACAAATAACAGGCCTAATAAGGTATTAATTACAAAATCGGCTCTCTCCGAAGAGAAGCCGAGTACAATAATAATGCATTATTATCTCAGTAATGTATTAGATCGCAACTTCAGGGAAAATGGAGCTTGTTTCTTTTTTTGTTTTGGCTGTCTCATACCCCGAGAACACCCGAGGAATTCTAACTGGCCATTGTGTTGTCTAAACCGGCCTACCCTTTGATCACGCCGCCGCCTTTGATTGATTGTGACGAAATGTTTCTTTGATCTGAGCCACAGCTTTTGCGATATAGGAAAGTCGGTAATGGAGCTGGATTTCTTCTCCTAGACGTCTTGAAATATCTCGGAGACGGGTGCAGGGGTCTATGAACGCCGACATTTCTCGATTTCCAGTCAGCCCCAATAATCTCGCAGTCCCCCACAACCCTGGCTTGCCCCTCCGGGATCATGCAACCAAAAGATACTATAAATATGTAATAATAATAATAATAATAATAATAATAATAATAATCATCATCATTATCATCATCATCATCATCATCATCATCATCATCATCATCATCATAGAAGATAGATAGATAGATAGATAGATGGATAGATAGATAGATAGCACTTGCACAGCGCAAATTCCCGCTCAGCAGCAATCTTTATACGCTTTACAATCTGGGGCGGCTCGAGGGGCTAAAAAGTGGGCGGGCACAATTAAACTATCGCAAGCTGAATATAGTCAAGGGCATAGTCAATGAGACGGAGCGAATTTTAGGATCTTTGGTTTAGTGGGAGAGTACCTCGTGCTTTTATTTTTATTCTTTTTACTTGTCGCTTTAATTTCTAGTAGTAAGTTTGTTCGTTAGCTAAACATCAATTTCGTTCGTCCTGTATTGAAACTGAACACTCAAGTAATAACTTTCACAACTCCATTACAAAACCATTCAAAGGCATAATTCATAGGACGGTCACGTTCACCTCCCTCAGGTTCATGGTCACAGAGTCACTTAAAATAGTAGCAAGACAGACAATGAACCAATCACAATTCACTTGAGCACTCCGCTGGACTGCTCAGGGGCTCACATAATATTGGCAAGAAATAGCGTATGGTCTGTCGCGTTATTTTTAGACGGCCTACTGTGGGCTATGTTTCGGCACTACTCGGCTGGAGCACATTTGAGATGTGTCGTCTTATTAATATTAATGTACCGCCACACTCGCTACGAGTGTCGTCATCGTTTGGGTTATCCCAAAGTGGGATTTATAGGTCAGGTTACACCATTGAATATCCTGTTATGTTTAGCTAAAGCGTGTGGACTTTGGCATGGCACAGTAGATGGGTTACGGCGCTATAGATACAGAATTTGACAGTTATGGACCTTGTTTTGATATTTTTATTATTGTGGGTGTTTTACGTAATAGAACATTTTTTTAAAAATTGGGCGGCACTGCACAACCGCACCCGTTTACAATATACTATATTCCGGCAAACCTGATAGCATTTTGAAATAATCTCAACTGCTTGGGAAACATACGGCGCAAGCTGCCATTTTGATAGGAGTTAAAACACTATTTTACTGACAAAATTTTTCGCTGTCTATGGTCGGGTATTCATTCTCACCTGGTTGAAGTGAGGGAAATTCGTGTAAAATGCCTTTCCAAAGGATACAGCATAATGTACGGTAGCTAAAATATTACTGTCTGCCAAGTTTTGAAAGTTTTACCGAAGTCTGAGGAAGCATTACTCGTGCACAAAAGACGTTGGTTCGATTCCCGTTTGGAATTGTTGTATTCAACCAGTCTCGCTTGTCCTTACTTGACATCCAAGGACAAAACAGCCGGCGACCTAAATGCCGATGAGGGCACGAACAATTAAGGGAGGAAGGCTCTAATTGCTTATTAAGTAGCAGGAAATCTCCCCCTGGACTTTTATCCGAGTAGATTCTTGTCTGTTACGGGCTCACGGAATTTCCCTTGTTTCGTTTAATTGATTTTGTGCAAACTTTTACATTGGCATTTTGCAGAGATTTTATCCTATGCTGCCACCCCCACCCCTTTTCGCTCTGTCTGTCTGTCTGTCTGTCTGTCTGTCTGTCTGTCTGTCTGTCTGTCTGTCTGTTTGTCTGTCTGTCTGTCTGTCTGTCTGTCTGTTTGTCTCTCTGTCTGTCTCTCTGTCTGTCTGCCTCTCTCTCTCTCTATCTCTCTCTATCTCTCCCCTCTCTGTCTCTCTTTCCTGCACCCCCTCTCTCTGCTGTCTCCTCTCTCTCTCTCCTCTCTGTCTCTCTCTATCTCTATCTATCTATCTATCTATCTATCTATCTATCTATCTATCTATCTATCTATCTATCTATCTATATATTTATCTATCTATTTATCTATCTATCTATTTATCTATCTATCTATCTATCTATCCATCTATCTCCTCTCTTTTTCTGTCCCTCTCTTTCTCTCTCTCTTTCTCTCTCTCTCTTTCTCTCTCTCTCTCTCTCTCTCTCTCTCTCTCTCCCTCTCTCTCTTCCCCTCTCTCTCTCTCCTTCTCTCTGCCCATCTGTTTATCTCTCTGAAATAGTTTGCAGTTTGGTACTTGCAGATCATACTAATATAACATAACCCAAGGTAAAGCTACGTATTATAATACACGCCTTAGACGGAAAATCCATAGTTAAATATTTCGTTGCTGGTAACATCCAGGTGCCTTTACTTAACTTTACCTCTTTGAAATACTGCTTCTTTTGTCATTTGTATTTCATTGCATACTCGTTTCGAGGTGGAGCTTCAGATGAACAAAAATGTTAAATACTTCAAGGCTCGCAGCTCAGGGGACTTTCTTTAGTCTGTAAAGGTTCAAATGTACTCGTTAAAAAATCAATGATGTGATTATTCCACGAAAAAAAAAGAATTTTTATTTTTAATCCGCAAAATCACTAAATGGAAATCACAAGGATATCACATTAAAAAGCTTGCAGACTAATCCGTTCATTCCTGTTTGACTTCCGGTCGCTTATTTTAGTCTAATCTTTAATTCAACAAAAATATTATTATTAATCGACAGACAAGCAGAAAAGCATTTATTTATGAGTCTACAAACTTTTCAGTTTCTGAAAAGGTTCCGTAGTCTGTGGATTCCTCGTTTCTTTACTGATTGAAATATTTGGTCACCCTCACGTAGTATATTATCTTGTGATGATGGTACTATTGCAACGTGTAGAAAAAAAAATATGTCTATGTTGATATGAGGGAACCTCCCGCGAGATTATTCTTTTTCTTCTTTTATTCATTCTTTCAGTCTTTCGCGGTTTCCTTTGTATAAACATACCACAGGGCTGGCTGGGTTTTTTTTATTCAGAGGAAACAGAAAGAAACGTTAAAGCGGGCGGGGTGGACTGTTAAAGTATCGAACTGTAGATCGATACTTACTGTTATGTTTTCCGTTTCCGAGATCTGTTGTTCAGGGATTAATCTGCTGAATTGGTGAAGGTGACTCGGGTTCGAATCTGTTTTTAATTTAAGGAGCTTGAGTAATTTGTTTAATTACTAAAATTGGGACAAAATGATAGTCATAACATAATGGTAGAAGTTATGATAATAATAATAATAATAATAATAATAATAATAATAATAATAATAATAATATTAATAATAATAATAATAATAATAATAATAAAAATAATATTATTAATGATAATAATAATAATAATAATAATGATAATTTAATAATAATGATAATATTAATAAAGTAATAATAATAATAATAATAATAATAATAATTGTGATAACAATAGAGAATAATGGTGATGCTGATCATCATCATCATCATCATCATCATCATCATCATCATCATCATCATCATCATCATCATCATCATCATCATCATCATTATTGTGATAAACATTATCATCATCATAATTATAATAATGATAAATACATGTACATTAGCGTACATACACGCGCTATTTAGATTAAAACTAACTCATAAGCGGACGATTATACTATCTCAGCACTATCGATGACGATGTGCACATTACATGATGAATATAAAATTACAAAGAGTAAAAAGAAGGGCTAACTTTATGCCACAAGGGGTAAGGATCACAAATAGATCAAATTCAAGAGTTCTATTCCTGGATGCCCTTTAGGATAGTTGATACCCACAAAGGTGCACACAGCTAGCAGTTTCAGCTAATTGGCCAGGAATTCAGATACACCCTTCAACACCCACCCACCCATCCACCCACCCTGTGCATGCTCTCTAGTTTCCGTCAGTTTCCAAACAAATTTTGCTAGTTTTTGTTTGTTTTTTCTGTCATTTTTTTTCTTTTCACTTGTTTGTGTCTCTTTAGTTAGTTTTTTTTTTCCAAAACATAATGTAGAACTACTTTAACAATGTTCTCCTTTGTCTTCTTCGTAGAATCTCATTTCATTAGATCAACTGTAAGCTGAAGCACTATGACAGAATGATCTCTTTGAAGACAACTAATGGTAATATTGCGATATCAATCAATCTGTCTATCTATCTATCTATCTATCTATCTATCTATCTATCTATCTATCTATCTATCTATCTATCTATCTATCTATCTATCTATC